AAAGACCGAAATATAAGACCTGAAACAATAAAATACATAGAAGAAAACATTGGTACCCAACTTATGGACCTTGGAGCTCAGAGAGGATTTTATAAATTTAATCTCCAAGGCAAGGGAAGTAAAAGCAAAATTAAATGAATGGAACTATATCAAACTAAAAAGCTTCTGCACAGCAAAAGAAACCATCATCAAAACAAAAAGGCAGCCAAGACCGGTTTGGCTCGGTGGATAGAGCGTTGACCTGCGGACTGAAGGGTTCCAGGTTCGATTCCGGTCAAGGGCATGTACCTTGGTTGTGGGCACATCCCCAGTGTGGGGTATGCAGGAGGCAGCTGATCGATGATTCTCGCTCATCGATGTTTCTGGCTCTCTATCCCTCTCTCCTCCTCTCTGTAAAAAATCAATAAAATATATTTTTTTTTTTAAAAAAGGCAACTAACTGAATGGGGAAAGATATTTGCAAACACCTCTGATAAGAGGTTAATATCCAAAATATATGAAGAATTCATACAACAACAACAACAGATCCAATTAAAGAATGGACAGAGGACCTGAACAAACACATCTCCCAACAAGACATATACAGGGCCAGCAGATATTTATTTATAAAAATACATGTTCATTGTAGCGTTATTCATGGTGACCAAGACATGGAAATAACCAAAAACTGAAGTGTCTTTCGATAGGTAATTAGATAAAGATGTGGTACATATGTATATACAATGAAATACTACTCAACCATCAGAAAAGATAAAATACTGCCATTTGCAACAACATGGATGGATCCTGAAAATATGCTCAGTGAAATAAGTCAGAAAGTCAGAAACTTGATTTCATCTCTATGTGGGATATAAGACTGAAAGAAACAAATGAACAAATAAGACAAACAAAAACTCATAGACACAGACAACAGTAGGGTTGTTGCAGAAGGAAGTGGGATGGGGGAAGGCAGAAAAGAGTAAAGGGGGTGACAGAAGACGACTTGATCTTGAGTGAACGAACACACAATGCAATATACAGATGGTGGATTATAGAACTGTGTACCTGAAACTGATATCATTTTATTAACCAATGTCACCCTAATAAATTTAATAACAGCACTGCCACCTGGTGTCATTAGGAGAATTACATCGATTAGCATTTCTAAAGCATTAGAACAGTGGTGGCACATAATAAGTGCTATCTGTGCCTGTTAAGTATATGTTTGTTTGGTTTGGTTTGTTGTTTTATTAATCTCTTTAAAAAATATTTTTATTGATTTCAGAGAGGAAGGAAGAGGGAGAGAGAGATAGAAACATCAATGATGAAATAATCATTGATTGGCTGCCTCCTGCTTGCCCCCTACTGGGGATTGAGTCCACAACCCCGGGCATGTATCCTTTATTGGAATCGAACCCAGGATCTTTTGATCCGCAGGCCGATGCTCTATCCACTGAGCCAAACCAGCTAGGGCTGTTTGTGTGCTTTTTTAAAAATAGAGAGTGGTGTAGCTACCTGGGGACCTCTAGAAGCACAGACATGTCCTTAGGATTCTGAATTTTGCCTCGTAAGCAGTGGAGCCATGCCTACCATCTCTGCCCCCAAGATCTCCCAACTTTTGCAGAAATAACATAGTACTAAGATTTTCTGCCTCAAAACGGGCATCTTGAGTGGAATAACTTTTCTTGAGGAATGGGCTTTATATTAATAGCAAAACTTCCATAGTGGTTATCCTTGAGTGGGGGCAGGGGAAAGGAGAGATGGAGGAGGTCATAAAGGATGCTTGGGTGTTGGTACTGATGTGTTTCTCCATCTAAGAGCCATGAACATTCATTCAGCTGTACCCTTAAGATTTGTACTCTTTTCTGCATTTGTAAGGGCAAATACAAATTTTAAGTTAGAGGCTTGATTCTCTAGTTGAAAATAAGAGACTCTCCCCCTCCTTCTGCCTTTCAGAATTTCCTCAGATCTTTTAAAATGTATGTAAATTTTTCTAATCCTATATAATAAAAGCCTAATATGCAAATTTTCCCCTCGGGCAGTTGTTCAACCAAGAGTTCGACCGTTCCCTATGACATGTGCTGACCACCAGGGAACAGCATGGGGCATGGCAGGTGTCAGTGATGTGGTGCTGGCAGTGGGCAGCAGTGAAGGCACTGCCAGCCCCGATGGGCCCGACAAGATGTAGCAGGATGGTGGAGCAGGTGAGCGGGCAGCGGCAGGCCAAGGCAGGTATGAGTGGAGGCCCAATCACCCTGCTGACTGCCCCACTGACGGTGACCAGCAGCCACTCTCAGGCGCTTAGGGAGCCACGCGGGGGGGAGGGGGGGTGGTGTGTATGTGTGCCCTGATCAATCACCTGCAGGCAGGATGGTGGAGTAGGTGAGGGGGTGGTGCCAGGCCACGATGGGGTACCAGGCAGGGCTGAGGGGCTGGGAGGCTGGGGGCGTGAGCTGGAGCCCAATCCCCACAGGCCACCCCAAGGACCCCACCTGTGCACGAATTTGTACACTGGGCCTCTAGTAACTAAATAAGCCACTGTCAGTGTGGCAATTCAGGAAAGTTTCAAGGACCTGGAAGCCATCCCTTAAAATTGAAGCCAATGAAAATAATGTTCTATCACCCAAGTCTACACTGCAAGCCCTGCCTAACTAGTGAATGTTGTCCACTTAGCTGTACAGAAGAGTACAATTTCTTTCTACCATTGCAATCATTTTAATGGGCTGCCTATAATGTGTATCTCATTCCGGTTTAATGCTTATTCAATAACAAAACTGTTTTCTTTCTCTTCTCCCTTTATGGAGGTGTTTTTCAAGTTGGGAGATGATTCATTTTCATAGTTCCCCAATATATTTCATGCTTCAATAAAGAGGTCAAAATATGCTTTTTTATAATTAAGTCAGCCCCAAGTGAAGGAGGGAAAAGAATGATTCCTAGACCATTTATTTTGTTATAACAAAACACAAAGAAGTTCAGATTTTGCTGGCTGATACATACTTTTTTTAAATGTATACTAAACAAAGGTAACTTTTTACTTTTACTAGTAGTTTCAGTCTGAAGAATAACAAGTTTAAGTACAAGAGAACATACAGCCGAAACTGGTTTGGCTCAGTGGTAGAGCGTCAGTCTGCGGACTGAAAGGTCCCGGTTCGATTGGTTGCGGGCACATCCCTGGTGGGGAGTGTGCAAGAGGCAGCTGGTCGATGTTTCTCTCTCATCGACGTTTCTAGCTCTCTCTCTCTCTCCCTTCCGCTCTGTAAAAAATCAATAAAATATACTTTAAAAAAAGAGAGAACATACAAAATATTAGGGAACGTGGCAATTTTGACAAATGAGAGAGCCAAGCACAGGGATCAGATATACACCAGTTCCACCCCAGCTCCAACACATCCTATGTGTGTGACCACTGGTAGGTTACTTATCCTCAATAATTGTTGAACCCTCACCACACATCACAAGATTAAAAAAGATGAATAATATTGCCCTGGCAAGGTGGCTCGGTTGGTTGGAGCACTGTCTCCTATACCAAAAGGTTGCAGGTTCGATTCCGGGTCAGGCCATATACCTAGGTTGTGAGTTTGATCACAGGAAGGAAGGCAGCCAATGGATGTTCTCACCTTTCTCTCTCTCTCTCTCTCCCCCTTCCTCTCCCTACCTTCTCCTTTCTCTCTCTAAAGAGCAATGAATATATCCTTGAGTGAAGATTAAAAAATAAACAAATAGGTGTATTATTATCACCCTCCCATTTCAAGATGAAAAAAACAGAACTCAAAGTATTAAAGTGGCTTGTCCAAAGTTGGAAAGTAAATACATAGTGGGAGCAAGACATAAGAACTGACCCGCTGATTCCAGGGCCACTGAAAAGGCCGCACCTCACCAAGCCCATCAAGAAACACCTAACTCCAAAATGGGTCCTTTCTCTGCTCCTCATTGTCTCCGGGATTGCCTCACCTGTGAAATCCATGTAAGTGTTTAGAACTGTTACAAGAGCCAGATGAGAGTGTAACATGTGTGCTTCCCACACTCCCTGGAATAGAGTAATTATTCCGAATTCTTACGTAGACAGTGAGAGATGAAAAACCTCTGCAAAAGGCTTTTCTCTCCCAAATAAATGAAAATTCCAATAGAGGACACTCACCAAGCATGGCCAAGGTGTGCATGATCATAAACAGTTGGCCCACAGCTATACCTAGAAACAAAGTTAAAACACATCGTGTGAGACATACTTGCCAGAAAAGATGTCACCTTCTCAACTAGGATTATCATATAACCATGTCCTTTATTCATTTTTTTTAAGGAACTTCTTTTGTAGAATGTAGTACAGCTGGGAATATATTATTACTTGACTGGCTTAATTCATACCACCAAAGTCCTGTCATTTCACTGTGTCTATCCCATGTCTTCCATGGTGCCCCCATCATGTATTTTATTATTTACCAAATGATTTCCAACTGAGAACCCAGCCCCCGCTTCCCACAGGGACCGCTCCTTCCACAGTCCTTCCCGCCCCACCTTCCCCCACTCCCTTTCCGCCCCCCCCCAACCTCACTCCCACAATCCCGGCGGCTACCAGGAGGCGGCGTCCGCGCTGCCCACGATTAAAGGGTCCTTCCTCAGGGTGAGGCTGTTGTACACCTTGACGCCCGTGTCGTGGCCTTCAGGCTGCAGCCAGCCCTGCCCGCGCGTCCCGGACACCGCCCGCCCCGGCCCCGGCCCCGGCCCCAGGCCCAGCGAGGCCGGGAGCCGCGGGGCGCCCACACCGGCCCCGAGCGCCCGCAGCATGACGGGCCCGCGAGCCACCCGGAACCAGAGGACTCGGGGCAGCTTGGGAGCTCGCCACGCCCACTCAAGGGCCCGCCCATCACGAGAGGGACCACCCACTCCAGGCCCCGCCTACCTCTAGAGGGACCGCCCACTCACCCAAAGCCCCGTCCATCCAAGCCCCGCCCACTCCCGAAGACGACCGGCACGGCCCCGCCCAGCCCGAAAGGTCCGAGGTCGGGCCCCGCCCAGCCCGAAAGGGGAAGGACGCGGCCACCTCCACCCCGGAATGGGACCCGCCCAGCTCCCGCCCACCCCGGAAGAGGGCCGGGCACAGCCGCGCCCATCCCGGAAAGGACTTGGTCCGGCTCCCCCCCGCTCCAGGTTAGCTGACGGGTCAGCGTCCGCTGGAGCGCTGGGGAGGGAAAGGGGTGCCGGCGGGGGACGGGGTCGGGGCCCCGGACCGCGGGGAGAGGCATCCTCCCCCGCCCCGGGGAGGGACCCCTCTCCGTCTGCGCGCAGATCGCTGATGCCGTGTGAGCCCGGCGCGGGAAGCCTCTAGGAGCCGGAGGTCACGGTCCGGGCACCGGCCGCCGGCTCCTCGCGAGTTCGCGAAGCACGTTTGCACTCCAGCATGTGCGCAGGTCTGCACCTCGGTAGGCGCACACTCCCAGGGCATGTTTGCATCCCAAAGCACGCCCTTTCTCCGCCTCCGGGTGAAAGACCGGAGCTGGGAAAGCACCCATTCATCTAGGACTGGTGCACGTGGTAGGAAATGTCTGCTTGGGATTCACGTTCAAGTTAAAAGATCATCTAGTCTCTCAAGAACAAAAACATTCTAAATTGCGGTTTCAGTGGAGCTTTTTAAAGGGGGGTTCACTTGAAGTTATTTTCAAGTTATCTCGACAGACATGCCCCTATTAATATGTTGCAAAAAAAGTGTTACAAAAATAAACACACAAATTTTTGCACTTGTCCTTAAAAAGCACCGAGAATTCTATTATTTGGTGTGTGTGTGTGTGTTTGGGGGGGGAGGGGTGGTGTCTTGATTTGTTAATTCTATTGAAAGGCCAATAATTAAGTAGAGACAAATCAGTGTGTTCCTAAAGCATTAAAAAAAAATTTTTGTTTTGAGATCCCTGGAGTCTGTTTCAAGCTGAACTGTAGCCTAATGTAAATTATGTTTGATGCATAACACTAAAATGTTAGGAGACCACAACATCAAAGCAGTGCTCCGGGACTACTCAAAGTTCTACTGGAGGATTATGGTTTCTTCACTGCCTGCTACTTACCTTGGTGCTATTTTGTAATTGACTCTTGTTTATAGTACAGTGGGCATATTTCTTTCCCTGAGTACGTGGGCATATTTCTCTCCCTGAGTACGTTTTAGATTGTAAATTCTTTTGAATCTCGACCTTCATCAGCACTAAATTCAGAAAAGGGCTGCTGAGTTAATGTGATGAAATCCACCAGCTGTGCATCTGGGGAAAAATTTGGGTGGTAAAATACCTGAGAGCCCGGCCTGCAAGGCTCAGTGGTTGAGCATTGACCTATGAACCAGAAGGTCACAGTTGGATTCTTGGTCAGGGCCCAGATTTCGGACTTGTTTCCCAGTGTGGGGCGTGCTGGAAGCAATGGGTCAATAGTTTTCTGTCATCATTAATGTTTCTCTCTCTTCCTCCCTGAAATCAATAATTTTATTTTTAAAAAGTATAAAATATGCCAGATGCATTAAAAAAATACCTAATAGAGGAAGCTCTAATCCAATTATTAGGTGTGCCAGTAAAATAAGAAAATGAACAAAAGGCTTGATTGCAATCTGTGAGAACACAAAATTCAAGGAAAAAACTGGAAGTTTTGAAAACAGATTTAATAACGTTGCCGACCAAACCCTGCACACAATCTGGATAACTACAGTGTTTGAATTGGTCATTGGAATCAGGACTTTTAAATTAAAAATATATTTTGTCTTAAGAAAATTGGTCATGTAATTGGTGCAGTCCTTGACTTGAAGCAACTCTACCTTTTCTTAATTTTTTGAGGAATCAGCAAAACAGTTATAAACATAATTCATTATTTAACTATTGTTAAAAATAAGACCTCTTTTGCAGGTTGAACATTAAGGTAAAGTAAAAGTGACTGGGAAGATTATATATCAAAAAAGAGAATCTTGTTCATTTGAAGAGACCCCCTCCCAAATCTAGGTCAGAACAAGAAAGTATATTTTAAAAAATCATTCCAAAATATCATGAATGCCATTTCTTAGTCCTTAAATGACAACAAAAAACATAGTTCTCAGTATTACATTTTCTTTCAAGGCAAAATCTTATAAATCCAAAGTAGAAAAGATAAAGATATTGTTTAGGGCATTTCAAGTTTGAAATGAATGTGTTGATTTATTTTTTAAGAAGCTCAAAATAAAGAATTATATATTTATCTCTTTTACTCCCTTAGGTTTGAGTATCTTCAGTTAAACTAGAAATACCATTTTAGAAAAAAAATATTTACACTCCAAAGAGTAACTGAAACAACCAAGATTCTTCAATGTATCTTCAAAATTAAGCACTTTTTCATTAGTGGTATATGTATTTCAAATGCATGATCACACTTCATTATTTTAGCTATTGGTCTTCTAACCTTGTTCAGAAAACAGTTAAGTTATTCACTGTTTTTCTAAAGGTATATCTTTTAATAACTTTGTAAAGCTAATAAAATATTTTCTGACTTCTTACTCAAAGGGTAAATTAAATGTCTTTTGGAATGTAAGCTCCTTATTTGCTACTGTATCCACAGGGCATAGAACAATAGCTAGAACATGGTAGGCACTCATTAAATACTTCTTGTTGAATGAATAAGATGACTTTCTGTTTTAAATGTCTGTAAAGTCCATGAAATACGAGAGGAATCATTATTCAGATAGTATCTTGACTTATAAAAGTTAACCATGTCCAAATTCCAGCTTGATTGTCGTTGGAAGGAAGAAATTATTTCTAACCTTTATTCTTAAGTTCATATAAACACTACTCAGTCAAGAGCCAATGAACGCAAGCATTAAAAGGACCTCTCTCTCTCTTGCTGTTGTACTTTAAAACTGCTTGCATGGCCCTGGCTGGTTTGGCTCAGTGGATAAAGCCTCGGCCTGAGGACTAAAGGGTCCGGGGTTGGATTCTGTTCAAGGGCACCGGTACCTTGTTTGCAGGTTCCCAGGCAACCAATCGATGTGTTTCTCTCACATCAATCTTTCCTTCTTTCTTCCACTCTCTCTAAAAAAAAGAAAAAATAAATGGGAAAATATCCTCGGTGAGGATTAACAAAACAAAAATAAAACAATAAAACTTGCATGCACTTAGAGGAAAATTTATAGTTGTTCTTATTCAACTTTGTACTCTCTTCATTCCATGTAAAATGCCCGTTTCCACATAATGTCATAGTATCACTCCTTGTGCAGACCCGTAAAATTTTGTTGTAGGAAATGAAACTTTTCTTGTGATGTGTTTTTAACTGGGCCAAGACTGGAAAACGTGTGAATCTGTTAAGTAAAATAACAGTCATTTCCCCAAATATCAAAGTGAACGTCCTCCAGATGTGGCCGTTGGATGAGGGAATGTAAATAAGAGTGAAGAACCAGCCCATTTACTTCCAAGTGTAAATATTATTCGTCGTTTGTCTCCGTAGCAACAAACGTTCCAATGTAAACAATCCATTTCGAGAAGGACAGAACAGCTCAATTTGGTCCCATTTGTTGTACTGATACCCTATCACAAGATGCCCTCCCGATCGCTGGAAAGAGCACCACCACTGCGGAGAATACGTAATCCACTTCTTAAAAATTGGAAACATTACTGGATTGCATATAGGAATTTAAAAAAATTCTCCAAGGTCTTGATCGTCACATTGTTGGATCACGAACACCCCGAATCTCCATACTACAAACGCGTCCGATAGAACTGTAATGTAATTAATTATTTTATGTCTACACGGTGTGCCCTACACACCCGGCACAAGGGCAGACCCGGAGTAAAGGGAGAAACCTCCTGAATTACTCAAAGGGGAGGAGAAGCGGAGCACTGCCCTGGCCCGGCGAGACGTCACGAGGCTGGGGGGTCAGGCTAATCGTCAGCGCTAGAGACTACGAGCAGACCCCCCCGCGCACCTTGGGGAAGACGGGACGGACCGGCAGACTGCGGAGAACGGGTGCGACGCGCGGGCCGCCGCCACCGGGCCCGCGGACAAAGGCGGGGTGGCCACGCCCACGAGGCGGAATCTCTGACGTAAGGGGCGGGCCTGTGCGCCGGCCCGTCGTCCAGGCAACGGGATAGCCTGTACCTCAGCTTTAAAAAAAAAAAAAGCTCCAAATCTGGGAGTTTGGGCTGCGGAGAGGAGCCACTGGGGAGGGGAAGGGGCCGAGACGGCACAGGGAGAGAGACCCTAGGATCCCGGCGACGCCTGGAGGCGCCTGTCCGGCTTAGGTCTAGGTGTCTTTCCCGAAGGGAAGGAGCTGAGTTGGAGAGCAGTTTGCAGAGCACAGGCTGCAAGGGGTCGAGGTCACCCGCCCTCGGCGAGGAAAGGGCCCGGGCCGGAAGCAGTTCCCCTCGCGGGCCCCTTTGTCTCCAGGCCGCTCGCTCGGTGCTGGGCTCTGACCGGTGACACAAAGGGAGCGCGGTAAGGACGGCGCAGGCGCGCCAGCCGCCGAGCTTGCTGGGAGTGGTGGTCCGGCCACTACAGGGTAGGTATCCCGCGCGGGCCAGCGGCCACCCCGGCCGTCCAAGTGCGCATGAGCCACCACTTCCGCCCCGCTCGGGCCGCCCAGTCTCCACCCCTCCGCAGGACGCGGGTTTCTAGTACTGTGTAGTAGTTAGGAGCCCTGGAGGAGTGAGCCGGGGAGTCCCGCCTCCTCTTCATGCTGATTGGGCCGCTGACATGAAGGAGGCCGTGCACTGGCTCTCGGAGCTGTCCGTCTGCTCCGAGACGTACATATATACCCCTGCTGCGCGGTGGGCACTAGAGCTTGAGGGGCTGAGTGGGAGGGCCGGGGAGGCTCCCTTGGGCGTGCGATGGTCTCGAGGCGGCGGTCCCGCGGCAAGGCCGGTTCCGCCTGGGTCTTGGGTGGGTCCGGCGGCCACCCCGCGTCACCCGGCAGGCACGCAGTGGTGCCGAGCACGCAGCTCTGCCTCCCAAGTACGAAACTCGTAGTAAAGTTTGCGCCTCCTCCGCCGCCTCTTGCCCCCGCGACCCCCGCCGCCCCGGCAAAGGTGACAGACAAAGCCACACCCCCACGCGGCAGGGCCGGTGAGGGGCGTGAATGCGGCGGGGGCGGGGCCCGTGGGGAGGGGGCCGAGGGGGGGTGACGGAGCGCATGCGCCGTGCGGGGGGCCGAATGTTTCCCAAGTGTTTGAAACTGGTATTTGGGTTTTCCACGTTGGACAAGTGCGGCGCGGCGGGCAGCGCGCTCCCCTTCCCGCGCTCGCTCGGCCCGGCCCCGGCCCCTGCGCCGGGGTGCGCGCCCGCACGCCCGCCCCGCGCCCGAGGCCGCGGAGCGCCGGCCCGGCCCGCCGCGCCGGGTCCCCGGGCCCAGGCGGCGCGGCTCGCAGATGTAGCGGCGCGGGGCCGGCAGGAGGGGGGGACGCCGGCGGCGGCGGGCGGGAGGTTTGCATTTTGCAGGGCTGGGCTCCGAGGGGGCGGGGGCTGGAGGAAGCGGAAAGCCGCGCCGAGCCGCCGGGGATCTCGGTGAACCATGTTGAGCCCTGCCAACGGGGAGCAGATCCACCTGGTGAACTATGTGGAGGACTACCTGGACTCCATCGAGTCCCTGCCTTTCGACCTGCAGAGGAACGTCTCGCTGATGCGGGAGATCGACGCGAAATACCAAGGTACGGCGGGATGGATGGGCGGGGGCGGCCGCTCCGCTCCGCTCCATCCCCGCGGGTCGGTCGCGGCTCGCCGAGGGGCCGCGCGGGTCGTCCTGCTCCCTTCCCGGGGAGCCCTGGGCCCTTTGGCGGCGGCTCTGCCCCGGCAGGAACAAAAGGTCTTGGAGCGCCTTTGATTCTCCAAGGTCCTTGTGCGCAAAGCCGGGACACAGAGGAGGAAGGAGAAACGAGAGGTCTCAATGCCAGGCTGCGCGAGCAAAGCGCTCTTTGTAGTGAAGTGACGAGGCGGGGTGCTGCGGGGGAGGGGGCTCCGGGGCGCAGGCTCCGGCGCAGGAGGAGGGATGTGCCGCGTTCGCCGGGGCGGAGGGGCGCGGGGATGGGGCTCCGCGCAGGGCTGCCGGGAGGGCGCTGCGGACGACGGGTCCCCGGCCCTGCTCGCCATCTCCGGGGCTACCTCCACCCAGTCCCGAATCTGTTATATAAAGTCTAGGGTCGGTACCCTGCGCGGTTGTAGCCCCGGTCGCCCCCACCCAGTCCCCCTTCCCCCCCTCCCGACCCTCCCGCGGCGCTGGACACCGAGCGGGGGACGACATGGCCGGGTGTAGTTTGCGGAGGGCCAGGGCTTTATTCCGGGCGTACGGCGGGGAAGGGAGGGGAGGATGAGGCAAGTCGACCATCTGTGCTGTGCCCGGGGGGCCGTGCGCGAAGACCAGGGGGTTCGGAGCGGACCCTGGCAGGGGGAGAGGACCTGTGGGTCTTCGTCGTCCGCAGCCCCGGCCACCCAGAGTGCCGGAGAGAGAAGCGGAGGGTTCATGTCCGCTGGGAATTGTCGGCTGTTGGGGAAACTTTCCTGCCAGGTCAGGCATGGCATGGTGGGGCTCTGTTTGGAACGTAGGTCGTCACTCGGGAGTTTACTCATGTTTACAAGGCTGCGCAGCAGGGAAACGGAAAAGTGGGGGGGAGGTGGAAAGCCCTCAGCTACCGCAAAAGACACAGAAACCCCTTCCCAGCGAGGCGCCCCTGCGCGCTCTACCAGAAACTCGGTTTCGCAGCGACATTTATAAGGGGCTCATTAGCATATTGTGGACGTCCCGCTTCGACCTTCTTTTGATTGGCTGTGGCGTCCCCGTGGAATGTCCTTATCAGTCCGCTCCCGAGCCATTGGCCTCAGGGCCGGATGAGGGCGGGCCTTGCGCTGTGACTGGCACCGATCTGTGTTTCCGCGGCCTTCTTTTTTTCTCTATCGTGGAGGGGCCGGGAGGAGGGAGGAGGTTGAATTGATTTGAATGTCTTCGGGTCGCCCGGCTTCCGGCCTTGGATTGGCTATCGGTGCTGCGGGGTGGGCTGTGTTGCCCAGTTCCGTCCTCTGATTGGCTCCCTGTCCGGCCTCCGCCTTTGGCCCGATGACCCCCCATAGGCGGTGGTTCCCGGGGCGTGGTGTGTCGCGCCGCTGGACACCTCCCCATTGGCCTGGAGGTGGCCCCGCCCTGGTCCTGGGGGGACCCGAGCCAGGCCACTTCCGGCCGCGGAGCAATGGCGGCGCCCGGGTGCCGGGGGCAAGGCTTGTTAGCTGCGTTCCTGGCTCCACCGAGGACGAAGCTGATGTGTCCCACCCAGACCCCGGGGACCCGCGGGACAGGCCAGCGGCCGCGAGGAGCGGGGGAAACGTGAGTGGCCTGGCCCGGGAGGGAGATCTCGGTGGTTGGTTGGCGCCCGGGATG